GTTCCAACTCATAGCAGCCCTGTATAGGGTTTCCAAAGCTGTAAATCTTTATGGGAGCAGAAAGCCTTATCTTTCTCTCATGGAACAACTGGTAGGAACAACTGGTAGTTTCAAACTGTTGACCTTTAGATTAGCAGCTTGACTCATAACCACTATGCTACCAGAGCTTATATATATAACATATTAGACTAGAAAAAATATATATTACATATTAGACTAGAAAAAATACTCCAAAGAGGGTCAGAATGATTGGACATGTCACTGAATCATGCATGTAGGAATTGTTGAGTTGGTGTATGTTCTGTAATGCATATTCTCAGCAACAAAGAAATAAATTTAACTAATTATAAAAAATTTAAATGATGGTAATTAGCTTGTTTTTTCTATGTAGTAATACCAGTTCTTTGTTATATTACATGCATTGAGAAAGCTCAGCTCCATACATTTGAATATGTATGATATTTTCCTGACTTATTAATTGTTGTTTTTGTTAAGTGCTGTGGATTCAGTTCCACTCATAGAGACCTTGTATACGGTTTCCAAGGAGGGAGTATTGGGTTTAAACTGCTGACCTTGCAGTTAGCAGCCCAGTGCTTATCCTACAGAGCCACATGAAGACTCTGTCTTATTAATGTTGTTGTTAAGTACTATCTAGTTGGTTCTGACACATAGCAATCCTGTATAGCGTTTCTGAGGCTTTAAACCTGTGGGGTTGCAAAAAGCCTCATCTTATTAATAGGAACTATTATAAATATATATTGGAGTCCTGATGTGGCTCTGTAGGATAAACATTTGTCCCCAAGGTAAGTTTAAACCTCTATGTTGTTGTTGTTGTTGTCATGTGCCATGGATTTGGTTCTGACGCATAGCGACCCTGTACAGGGTTTCTGAGGCTGTAAATCTTTACAGGAGCAGAAATCCTCATCTTTCTGGTAGTTTCGAACTGCTGACCTTAATGTTTGCAGCCTGATTCGTAACCACTACGCTTCCAGAGCTCCTTTAAACCACAACATTGGCAGTTTAAACCCACCAGCTGCTCTTGGGAAATCCTGTGCAGGGTCGCTGTAAGTTGGAACTGACTCCACTGCACTTAGCAATGACTACAACTATATATATATATATATATATTACCTCAATACATAATGTATTCATTGTAATTGAATGAAATGCACAGTTCTTCATACTCAGTAAAGCAGCTCTCAACCTCATTTAATAGAAACATCCTTCTTTATATATTCAAGTTGTATATATAGCTTTTCATTATAACCCCCTCCTTTATCTTTTGCTTTATATAGCTACTTAATCAATGATAGTCTGCTATATCTCTGGTATGCTACCTAAAGACCACAAGGCATAGCTGCTTTTTAAGATCCTTAAAATCATTTCTGTTCTTTACCTACCAGTTATGTAGCAAAAATCAAAAACACCATGTTCTTCAAGATTCACAAGCCTGTGGAAATCAACATGATCTTTATTGACCATCAAAATCCTGGAGTATGAATATATATTTTCTTCTACCTTGATATAAAAGCCACTAGAAGGTAGTGACAGAATTTTGGGGATTAGATACAGCAATATACTTGCAGTGGGAGTTATTAAAACTTTGAATTTGCTTTTGTAGGAGTTGCAACAAGAAGTATGGCATATGTGTCTTTGCTATTTAAAGGGAGGATGCGTGGCAGTGATGAAATCATGCTCACTAGAGAAAAGGGCACAGCTGGGACTAGCCTAGATGGAGATACTTACACAGTCACTTAAGGATTTTATAAGGATCAAACATTTTTATTATGGGAATAGCCCCATCATTAAGCCACAGTGTTCAAAATCCCAGAGTTAGAAATTTATTCTTTCACATTAAGGCAACGTGTCTTTAGCAAACCTTTGTTTGTTGGAAAAATCATATATCAAAAGAAGAATCTTAGATTAAAATTTCTGATTGTTGTTGTTGTTAAGTACTGTGGAGTTGGTTCTAACTCATAGTGACCCTGCACAGGGTTTCCAAAGCTGTAAATCTTTATGTGAACAGAATACCTTGTCTTTCTCCCATGGAACCGCTGGTAGTTTTGAACTGCTGTCCTTGAGATTGGCAGCCCGACTCATAACCACCACGCTACTAAAAGTTAACATAGACTAAAGGACCATAGATTAAAGTTTCTGAAAGGACATTTTAAAATTAACACTGACTAAAGTGTTTTAGAATAGCAGTAATGGAATAATAGTGTGGCACTGTAGGATAAACATCAGACTACTAACTGCAATGTTGGGAGTTCAAACCCACCAGTCACACCTCAGAAACCCTACAGAGGGTCCCTATGATTTGAAACTGACTTGCAGGCACTTAATAACTACAACAGTAATAGGTGTAATAATAGTCTCCATTGTTAGGTAAAGGCTGGAAAGAAAGAAGACTGAAAATACAAAGTAACAGTATAAGAAGTGAAGACAGGTACTAGGCAAGACTTTGAGGGATTATGTCAGAAGTAAATTATTTTAAAAAGGGGAAAATGAAGTGTTCAGCACAATGCCTGGCCCAGAGAAAATGTTCCATAAACTATAGTAAGCAAAGGAGTAGCAGAAGAAAGCTGATGATGCAATGATTAAGAAGTCAGGTGCCAACCAAAAGGTGGAGGAAGATCTGAAAATCTGCTCTCTTAAGTTGTTGCTATTGTTGTTGTGTGACACATAAAGTCTAAAGCCACTAGATAGCATACAACATCAAGCTCATAACAGCCTAACAAACCCTATGGGGCAGTTCTAATCTACCCCAGGGTTGCTACAGTCAGAATTGACTTGATGGTATATAACAACAGGAGAAGATAATATCATTATGATCATTAAAAATAATTTTTGAGATGCCCATGGTACATTATTCACAGAAATATTAGATGTGAATTTTAAGGCTGAAATCATAGCTGAGACTCTTCCATATTAACTTACATGTCAGTCATACATATCAGACTTACTCTCTAAGCAAATAACTTTCTTCCCATATATCCCAGTAATTAGAACCCTTTGCAACCATCATACCTATTCTATAATCTGCAAGACTGGCAATAAATTCTAAGAAAATCTTTCCTAGCTAATCACATTATTTTCAGTCTTTTAAATAAGAAAACAAACACACTTTAGTTTTCAATGATTTTTTTTTTGTTGTTTTATTTTATTTCCATTCTGTAAAGAGAAAAAAGAATTATTATATTTAAACATACAGCCAAGGTTATAAAGATGCAATAAATTAAATATATTTCCATTGGTTTAAAACAAAAAATAAGTAAGTATATCTACCTCTTGTATGTCAGTTTGTTGCACTGGTAGATTGTGTTTGCTGTGATGCTGCTGGAAGCTATGCCACCATTATTTTAAATACCAGCAGGGACACTCATGGTGTGCAGGTTCCAGCAGAACTTCAAAACTAAGATAGACTAGGATGAAGGAGAAGACGACCACTTCTGAATGGGTACCCACCGAAAACCTTGTGAATAGCTTGAAACATTGCCTGACATAACGTTAGAAGATGAACTTCTCAAGTTGGAAGCCACTCAAAATGCAACTAGAGAAGAACTGCTTACTCATTGAA